CTTTTTCCAACTTCACCCAAATGAACTTGTGGATTATCATTTGATTGACATTGAAAGTTAGCTGATGAGAATGATGATGTTGTTGAGGCCATTTGTACATGTAAAGTATCATTTACACAAGGTTTAGGAAACTGACACCCACCACAACCTACAAAGCATCCTGACAGAAAATTAAATGGCTCAGCGCTAGAACAACTCTCAAAAGCAGAAGGAAATTCACAACCACTTTGAAATTCAATTTTGCACTTACCACTACGTTCAGGATTATCCTCAAAGGTCTTACCAGTAGAGCCTGCCAGACCTTCAAAAGAGCCAGATGGCTTGTCACAATCATTAGAGCTGGAAGAGATATCAGCAAAGGTAGCATTTGAACACTCAGGCTTTTTACATCCACTAATACTCCCAGAATCATTGATGTTCAGATTCTTCATCTCATCCGGTAGTGTAAATAGTGTCTTTGGCCTCCCTTTCATTGCTTTATTTAAGCTGGAACTCCCGAATATAAATACATCTCTACCAAGATCTTCCTTGAGGGTCCTACCCTCTTCACAACCTAAGTTAACATTACTTGCTTCCGCATTCTGAAACGCTGCTGAGCTTTCTGCTTTCATCTCGATTCCGAAATCAGGAACAGAGCTTCCTACATTACTTGTTGCATCAAACCAACTGTCGCCAAAAACAAATTTCGAATCAAAAGATTTCGTTAAATAACCACCATTTTTAGTTTTAAGATTGCTACAACTCTCAGTACCCGCCTTCCCCACGGATTTATCAAGCTCTTCCTCTTCTGCATTAACCGTGGATGCCAGATCAATCGTCTCCGTACTGTTATTCAGGGCAGGATTCGTTACGGAATCCATTTTCATTCTACCACCACCGGAGTCGAGCTTACCAGCATTCATGAAATTCTCCCATTTCCACTCTGCTTTCATCTTCACCCCATCGTCCGCTACAAGGTTCTCACAATTCACACTAGACTGTTCACATTTGTTGTCTGAAGTTTCTGAACTCGAAGCACAGTTGCTCAGTTTAGCACCAAATACAAACCCTTCATTCTCGACCTTCCCAGAAGCCAATTTCTTATGCAAATCATCGTTGGACACCGTATTCCCAGAATTCGAATCGCCATCCCGATTCGCTCCAAACACAAAACCACCGTCAAATTTCTTAGTATCACCTAAAAACACAAACTCATCATTAGAACTAACCTCGCAAGAACCAACTTTCGACCTCGCATGCTGCGACGCAACCCGTTTCCTGACCTTCGTAAGTCTCGGCCGCGATCGAGCCACACGTTGAGAATCAGAAACAACCTTCAAATCGAGTCCACTCGGATCACTAGCGCTAAAAGAGTTCACTCTCTGCTGGTCACCCTGTAAATCACCGGTACAAAAAGCGGGGAAACCAAACGATGTATCGAATCGATGGGGGTTAAGCTCAGTGTTTTGGAGCGCCGCTGACGAGCATTCGACTGGTGGGGATATCGCCGGAGATCGTAATTCCACCGCCGGCGGCGACATTTAAGGAAGGAAAGAAATCCCGTGATGTAAATAAAACGAAGGTTTTAGATCAAAATTAGGGTTTAAAGCAAATGGGTATTTGGAAACGAATCTTATTCCGATTGAGATCGCGTGGTTTAGGGTTTTTGCTGAGAAGAAGAAATGGATTCAGAGAGACGAACTGGCAATCTAAACTTACAGATTTGATTTATTGATTTCTTCTACACAGTAAAGCAAAGAGACGTGAGATTGGGACACGTGAAATCAAGAAAGAAAACAAAAGAAATGGAGAAGTTCAAAGTTTCGGGGAAGGTATTTGCTTAAACGGCTACTTTTATTGAATAATAGCTTTGTAAAAGAAAGTTTAAGCCTATTTATTTAATTAAATAATTTATAATTTTAATTAAGTTAAATTAATAAAAATATAATCTTTAAATTTCAAATTCCTTAATTAACCTTTAACAAATTTTAATTATTTAAAAATATCCTTAAATTAAAAAAATAATTAAAAATACTCCCTAAAATACAATTATAATTTTATTTTTTAAAAATAATTGTAAAGTTCTTTACGTTAGTAATGGTTTTTTTTTAATTAAATTTGAAATTCACAAGTATTTTTGTTTTGTTAATAGTTTCGATAATAGTATTTTTTTAAATTTTTTTTAAAGATTAAGGGTAGTATTGGAATTTTAATTTTAATTTTTTTTTTTGACCAAATATAAAGTTTATTAGTATTTTTATTAATTTAAGTTTTGGTTATTGTAACTATTTTACAACCATTTAATATATATATATTTTTTACCGAACACTATTTTACAACTTAATTTTTTTATTTTATTTTCTCGAGTTTAGGGTTAAACTATTAACTTCTTAGTCGAGAATATATGCTTGAATCAATTAACCTATGCTCAGGCCAACCGTTGGATCGAGAATTATAGTGTGTTTATATAGAGAGAAAAATAATAATAATTGTTTTTTTGGTATAAATTAATTTTGCAATTTTGTTACAAATAGTATCAGAGTCAGATACTGAGCGAGGGGAACGAAACATTCCTTAGGATGTTTGTAAGGCTGTGGAAATCAACGAACAACAATACGTAATTGGTCAAAACGGACAATATCTGCTAACAGTTGACTATTATGAGAGCAGTTACAGACAACTTAGTAAACACAAATTTGTCCACTTTGGTACGATGAACACTATTCTCCACAATGATATGATATTTTCCACTTTGAGCATACACTTCCATGACTTTGCTTTGAGTTTTCCCAAAAGAAGGTCTCGTACCAATAGAGAGAGTATTCTTTAATTATAAACCAATGATCATTCCCTAAATTAGCCGATGTGGAACTTTCATCCAACATGGTATCAGAGTTATTCGCACTTTCACCGTTTGAATTAGTTCATACTTACACATGCATGACTTAATCTTTGAAACAAGCATAGTATCAGAATCATGCCTAAAATTAGTCATGTCAATAGAATTCTCAAATATCGAACAGAGGACTCTAAAAGAAAAAGAAGTCGAGGTTCCTCGAATGCATGATAAAAAATGACTAAGACTCCAAAAGAAAAGGAGTCGAGCTTCAATTAAGGGGAGACGTACGTTGTTCGAGGGGAGGTGTTGGATGAAAGTCTCTATGTTTATAATCAAGAAATACTCTCTCCATTGGTAGAAGACCTTTTGGGGAAGCCCAAAGCAAAGCTACGAGAACTTATTTTCAAAGTGGACAATATCATACCATTGTCGAGAGGTGTGTTCGTCAGGGAAGGGCAAATTGGTAAATTTGTGATTTAGCTTAAATAAGAGTTAATGATTTCTAACGTATTCCTATTGCCTTTGATCACCAAAATTTACGTGGCGGGTCTAATCACTCTAGAGCTTCCTCTCCTGCAAGTGCGCAGAAGGTACCCTAATATTTTTACCCACTACGATAAGAATATTAATCTCATGATTTGCATTATGAATTGAATTTGATTCTCTACCAATAGCTAACAATCTACAGTTTCATTCATCTTCAATCCAATCTTAAAGTGCGTATGAAATTCGACTCCATTTTGAGGCCAAAATGTTCGCAAATTATGTTCTTCGATTATCATGTGCTTTGAACTTTTTCATTAAAAATTGTTCATGACAGGGCTTCATTATTTTCCAAAGATGAACAGCATTGGATTTATGTTAACGACTAACGAGCTTGCTGTGCGACTATGGCTTTTTAGAATTTTCCTTTTTTTTTTTTGGTTTGAGATTGATGAGAAGTACATTAGGAATTTGAAGTTTGAAATCGAGATTGTTGGGAATGTGGTGATTGTGTTTGGGGAGCTTGGGGATGAATTCCAAATGTTGTGTTTCGTATGTGAGAATTTGTAATAGTCCAAGCCCATCGCTAGCAGATATTGTCCTCTTTAGGCTTTCCCTTTCGGGTTTTCCCTCAAGGTTTAAAATGCGTCTGCTAGGGAGAGGTCTCTACACCCTTATAAAGGATGTTTTGTTCCCCTCTCCAAACGAGTTGGGATCTCACAATCCACCCCCCTTTGGGACCCAGCGTCGTCGCTGACACTCGTTCCCCTCTCCAATCAATGTGGGACCCCCAATCCACTCCATTCGGGACCTAGCTTCCTCTCTAGCACATTGCGTGGTGTTCACCCCCCTTTGGAATTCAGGCTCCTCGTTGGCACATTCTTCGGTGTCTAACTTTGACACCATTTGTAACAACTTAGGTCCACCTCTGGCAAACATTGTCCTCTTTAGGCTTTCCCTTATAAAGAATGCTTTGTTCTTATCTCCAATCGACGTGGGATCTCATAGAATTACCCGGTTGTTTATTTATGAGAATACAATTGTTAGGACTTGGGAATGAGATACCTATGTATTTGATGGTTAGAACAGACTTCATTTATTGGTCCCATGATTGCTAGTAATTATCTAGATAAATAATCGTAGAGTTTCTGACAGACCAAACCCCCACCAATCTAAGATTTCTCAGGGTTGGATAAGTTAACAAATGTTGGTTAAGTGCGGAGGATATTAGTTGTTTAAGAAGTGAGAAACATTGGTTTCTTTTAGTCATTTCTCTTTCCTACCATGACGACTCTTGTTCCCCACCTTTGTAGCGTTCAACTGGGGTCTACGATTCAAAGGTGACATCTGTAAATTTGGATCTCCTTTAGGGCGGAGATACTTCTGAATCATAGATATACTTTTCTGCAATGCGTATGTAGATACACACAAGTGTAACATTGCACACATGTATAAGCAGAAGTTCTTTTTTTTTTTTTTTTTTTTTTTATAATAAACCAGCTCAATGGTACATGTAGCATATAAACATATGTATCTATACAGAAGAATACAGAAGGAGGATGACTGTCCCAGCTACATTCAACAGGGCACTGTTTAAAAGTTTCTAAGTCAATACGATATTTGTGTGTTTTGTTATGCTCTCAGAGTTCTCAAGAAAACTCACCAGAATGACTTGTGCTATTTTTCTGAAAATTGATAAGATCCCTAGCAACATAATGTGATTTCTCATTAATTTACAGTTTTATCATCATAGCTTTCACATTCTTCAAGGAACTTTTTTATGTGTTGCTTATTCAAATACAACTATCATAAGAAGGGAATACCCTTTTGGAATATCCTCTGACCAGGAGCAAGAATTGCCAAAGGATCATACATAGATTTCCTCTGCAAGATAGTCTGCCACTTGAGCCCAAAGTGAGATCTCCATTCTTCTTGTGAGTTGTAGTGGGGGAGATATTGCTTAACACCAGGGTGGTACTCAATACAGTAATCCAAAATTCTTTGATTTTGTTCTAAAATGTGTTCTAAGCCATCTGTTCCTACGGAAGATGGAACTGCAGAAGATAAGAACGCCACCAAGTAGAAAATATCTTCATCTGGCGTGACGAACGATGTTTTATTATTCCACCTGAACGAATGAAAGTCGATGAAGAATGAGAATAAGGACATAGGGATGTTGAGGATTATTGGAAGTGAGTCTCACTTTGGTTAATTTAGTGGAAGATCATGGGTTTATAAGTGAGGAATACTATCTTTATTGGTATGAGGCCTTTTGGGGAAGCCCAAAGCAAAGCCACGAGTGCTTATGCTCAAAGTGGACAATATCATACCATTGTGGAGAGTCGTGATTACTAACATAGTATCAGAGTCATGCCCTAAACTTAACCATATCAATAGAATCCTCAAATATCGAACAAAGAATTGTGAGCCTCGAAGGTGCAGTCAAAATTGTCTAAAGTGTCGAACAAAGGGTGTACTTTGTTCGAGGGAGAAAGGAGTCGAGCCTCGATTAAGGGGAGGCTATTCGAGAGCTCTATAAGCCTCAGGGGAGACTTATAGTGTACTTTATTCGAGGGGAGGATTGTTGAGGATTATTGGGAGTGAGTCCCACCTTGGTTAATTTAGTGGAAGATCATGGGTTTATAAGTGAGGAATACTATCTCCATTGGTATGAGGCCTATGAGGCCTTTTGGGGAAGCCCAAAGCAAAGCCATGAGAGCTTATGCTCAAAGTGGACAATATCATACCATTGTGGAGAGTCGTGATTCCTAATAACAAGTGATGTAATAAGTAAGTTATGAGATAATTACTTGGATTTGTTAACTGGGTAGATTATGATGGGACCATTGCTAGAATCCTTGAGGATGTTTCCAAAGACTTTTTGAGCAAAATCATGTATTTGGCTTCTGGGAATCAGTAGATTTAACCATGGATGAGGAATTTCCCATAAACCTTTTGCTCGTAGCTTGTTCTCCGAAACGTGTACACGATCCAGGAAATCCACGTAAGTAACTTCTGATGTGAAGAGAGTTGATGGAATATAGCTCAATCCTGTCAATAAGCTTTCAACTTTCTGCATTATAAGAAAGAGAAGTTTAACAAATGGGATTGTTTTTGTTATTTGTTTTCTTTTGTTCTTAGATGGCACGATTTTTGATAACTCCTCACCTTGTTCATAAAGTTAATTTCATCTAGGTTGAAGTACTTGGCTATTTCCAAGCAGTAGAAAATTTTTCCATCTGAATTGAATTTGCCAGCCTGTAGTGGTTCTTTGGGATTAAAGGAAGATCTCCAGTTATTTAGGAGACCGGTTCTGTTTATAACTACAAATCCTTCAATATAATCAAATTGATCCATGGATGATATCAGATACTCTTGGTCTCTTGTAAATTTGGCGAAGTCTGAGTACAACATTCTTATCCATTTTACCTGCAAAAAATGATGAGTTGTGTATCAAACGAAGCATCACTTGAAAATTTCGGTACCTCGGCGTAACGAAACGGAATATGCTCTTACCATTTTTGGTGCCTTTTCCAAAGAAATTCTCGCCCTTGTTATGATGCCAAACTGTCCGAGTCCGCCAAGAACAGCATGGAAAAGGTCTGCATTTTGATTCTCTGAACAGGCAACCACCTCTCCTTTTCCTGCAAAGGTTTCAGGTATCAGGCTTTACAGCTTTTATGTTTTTTTTTTTTTCTTTCAAAAAGCCTTGAAATGCATTTAATTGCAGCAATACTCTTAAACGTTTTATTAAGAACAGCAGACCAGGAAAAAAAGTTGCTTCTTTGTGGAATGACAAGTGATGTTACATGATATGCTGTAATATCAAGTTACACTGTTCTGATGAACAGTATGGAGGTACCTGTTACAACTTCCAGCTGATAAACGTTGCTGATCTGGGGTCCATGCCTGAAAGCCTGCCCACTAATGCCAGCATTTGACAAGGTGCCTCCAACAGTAAGATGCAGGTAATCAGTCCAAGATTTTGGTGCCATCCCCTGTTTAAGAGTTTCATGCAGGATATTTATCCATAGCTCTCCAGCTGAAACATCCACATAAGGTAAATTCCCTGCATTTATTTTCATTTCTGGCCCTTGAAATGATTCCATACTGATAACTACACCATTATAGGCTTGAGCTTGACCTTGGATGGAATGTCCATGGCCTCTAGCTGCAACGGTCAAGTCCGACACATATCCCATTCTGAAAATATGGTTTATCGTGCGCGATATATCGGAGACGGAGTTTGGATGTAAGACAGCTAATGGTAGTAAATGGTATCTTTTTCCAAAATCTGTTGCTGCTTGATGATTATTTTCAAAGCTGAGGTATCCATCCAATCCCAATGTTTGCAGGGCATACGTTGATATATCAGAGGAACCAAAATGAGGTGGAATTATTGAGGCTGCAAATAGGTGGTTCCTGCTGTCAGGTATGCAACTGATATATAGAATTATGTATAACTTGAGAACAATAATGCTTTTTTTGATGAAGCCAGATGTTGGTACCCTCATCTTTCCTTCACAGAGAGAGAGAGAGAAGCTTCAGTGTTCTGTTCTTTGTGAGGTAAAGCAAAGGGAGAGGTACAGAGGAGCCTAAGAGATTGAGTGGAATGAAAGGGAATTTAAAGAAGTTCTTGGGCGGCATAGTCAAACACTTAGTTAGTGGTGACTTTGGGTAAGCTAGCTACTAATACTCCTTTTTGTTCACCTTTTGGTGGTTAAAAAACAGAGAAGATATAAAATGTCACAAAGAAAAATTGAGTGGAAAAAGAATTGCCTTTTCTTTTTCTCTATTGGCACTTTCTGGAAATAGTTCTCAACCAATTTTTCTTGAAACAGAATTCACCTTGACCATTAATTGTGGAAGGTGCAGGGTGGTGTTTGTTACTACTTGAAGCAAAGATTTTATGTTTTTCCTATTACCAATCACGGCCTAAATTCACCGTTTGTCTTCTTTACACTCTGAATGTGACTGCAAACTACTGGAATTGTGAGATCCCACATCGGTTGGGGAGGATAACGAAATACCCTTTATGAGGGTGTGGAAACCTCTCCCTAGCAAAATGCGTTTTAAAAACCTTGAGGGGAAGCCCGAAAGGGAAAGCTCAAAGAGGACAATATTTGCTAGTGGTGGGCTTGAGTTGTTACAAATGGTATCAGAGCCAGACACCGGGCGATGTGCCAGTGAGGAGGCTGAACCTCGAAAGAGGGTGGACACGAGACGGTGTGCTAGTAAGGACACTGGACCCTGAAAGGGGGTGGCTTTGGAGGGTCCCACATCAGTTGCGGAGGAGAACGAAACACCTTTTACAAGAGTGTGGAAACCTCTCCCTAGCAGACGCATTTTAAAAACCTTGATGGGAAGTCCGAAAGAGAAAGCCCAAAGAGGATAATATCTGCTAGCTGTGGGTTTGAGCTGTTACAAATGGTATCAGAGCCAAACACTGGGCGATTGACCAGCGAAGAGGTTGAGTCTCGAAAGGGGTGGATACGAGACGGTGTGCCAGCAAGGATGCTAGACCCCGAAGGGGGGGGGGGGGGGGNGGGGGGGGGGGGGGTGTATTTGGGGGTCCCACATCGATTGGAGAAATGAACGAGTGCTAGTGAGGACGCTGTGCATTGAAGTGAGGTGGATTGTGGGATCCCACATCGGTTGGGAAGGAGAACGAAACACTTTTTATAAGGGTCTAGAAACCTCTCTCGAGCAAACGAGTTTTAAAAACCTTGAGGGAAAGCTCGAAAAGGAAAGTCCAAAGAGGACAACATCTTCTAGCGGTGGGCTTGAGCCGTTACAGTAATTGGCTGAATTTTGATGATTTGTCTGCTATATACATATATTGTACAATCTGAACTCAATTTCCCTACTGCAGAGTGAATGGCGGGCTGGCCCCTACTAAGTTTTATGCTTCTTCAAGCTGAGTGTCTGGGGAGTCAGATTACTGGGACCCACTCCAGTTTTTCTTCATAAGAGTATACATTATGTTTTGACAGCCCTCACCAACGTGTTATACATTTAGTCTGCATAATTTCCATGAAGTTTTTACATATGATCATCAATTTTTGTGTAAAATTTACATTGACATGTGAATTCTGGTCGAAGACGTCTTACGAACTTCGATTCCAATTTTTTGTAAGGTTGTATAATCAAGATTCGTACCGGTGCACATGAACTAGCTCAATTCGTCCCAGTTCTTAAGAAAAGTAAACAGAATAAGCATAATGATGAATATGTTGAATGCTGACAAACAAACATTTTCGAAAGCTTCCTACGTCGATTTTTACTACTGTTTCTAAGTCTCTCGATTCAATGTCCTTTCAAATAGTGATTCTATTAGAGCGAAGTTGTTTAAGTTAGAGGTGCATTTAATCATTTAGATTATAATTTTCAAAAGTGCCCTTCTCAAGTGAAATAAAAGGCAGGACCACCAAGTGAAATTGCGTTCAAATTCAACTGCATCTAGACTTTGATTTTATGTTTTCTTTGACTCAATGAGTGACAGAAGTTGTTTTTGGGTGCAGAAGAACGAGTGTTTGAAAAAGAAAGATGAAAGGTATGTCTACATATACAATGAGTTCATAGCAGCAGCATCAGCATCAGCATCAGCATCAGCATCAGCATCAGCATCAGCTAGAACAAGGCTTTTGGTCAGTCCAATATACAAAAAGAAAGCTCAATTTACTTCCATGTGATAATTCATTATCTTTTTTTGTGGATTTAAAAGGTGTATGGCTTCATTGTCAAACTTCTAATGGAGGTTATGAGAGAGAGGGATTGTTTAGGGGTGGGGCCATGGACATGTGATCTTCATAAGGGCGTGTAGTGGCCCAAGAAAAGGAAGATAAAGAAAGATTTGAAAAGAGAGGTAGAAGAGGGTTCGATGTTGGACTTTAAGGTACGTGTAATAGCTTAAGTTCAAGTCCACCGCTAGTAGATATTGTCTTTTTTGGACTTTTCTTTTCGAGCTTCCCCTCAAGATTTTAAAACGCATATGCTAGGGAGAGGTTTCTACACTCTTTTAAAGAATGCTCTGTTTCCTTCTCCAACCGATGTGGGATCTCACAATTTTGTGTTTGGTGTCCAAGTCCACTGCTAGCAGATATTGTCTTCTTTGAGCTTCCCCTCAAGATTTAAAAAACGTATGTTAGAGAGAGGTTTCTACACCCTTATAAAGAATGCTTCGTTCCCTAGGAGATTTCACAAATTTGTGTTTGGTGCCCAATCCCACTGCTAGCAGATATTGTCTTCTTTGGGCTTCCCCTCAATATTTAAAACGCGTATGCTAGGAACAAGTTTCCACACCCTTATAAAGAATGTTTCGTTCCCCTCTCCAACCCCTCTACAACCGATGTGAGATTTCATAAATTTATGTTTGGTGTCCAAGCCCACCGTTAGTAGATATTGTTTTCTTTGGGCTTCCCTTCGAGATTTAAAACGGGTACGCTAGCGAGAGGTTTCCACACCCTTATAAAAAAAGTTTCGTTCCCCTCTCCAACAGATATGAGATCTCACAATTTACCAAATTGGTGGAGGGGAGTGTCAATATTACAAAAAAAAAAAAAAAGATTCCATTGTTTGATTGGATGGGATTGATTCTAATTTCAATTTAAGTTGCCCCAACATTATTCTTTTGTATGGAAAGTTGGACTCTGGCCCATGAGGGTGGTTGAGTTACTAGAGAACTCCTCAAAATGGTTGCTTTTTGTAACCATCATGCGAGTGTCTACAATTATCTTTCAACCTTACCATCACCATCTAAAAACAAGGTATAGCATATTAAAATCGTTTGGGAATTCTTTGAAAAGTAGCTCTTAAAACCAATATGATTGAGTGATGTATTACGGTGGAAAGAACGATTTGAATTGTTCTACGTAATAATCAAAACAATATTGTTTCTGTATAGTTTACAAGCCTTTGTGTGATGACAATTTCGTTTCTAGTTTCGTTCTTGAAAAGTGTATTTGTGTTCTTACCATTTCTTTACTATAGTTTTCATTTCTGTTCAAGATTTTTTTCGATTCTTAGTCGATTTTGAAGTTTTTTTTTAGGAAGTCAGACTTTCACCTATTACAGAAAGTTCTACATTGTTGTTTTCAATAGGAGAGTAGGTTGTACCGAAGTCCTAGTGGGCCTAATGATTCTCTTTGATTGTATCCGAATTTTCTTTTACTAGAGCATACCTACCTAAAAAAGCCCTCTTTTATGTTAAGGGCACGGATGAAACGGTCAACTAATCTCGCCACTAAGATGTCAAGTTTCTTATCTTTCAATTGACACTGCTTGATAGAGATATGGCTTCGACTTCTGCCTTTATCAAACTATTATGACAACCATGACACGGAGGAGTAGCTTCTCAATCTGCACTACGACCCGTCTGTATTCTTTTCAAATTGATTTACGATCAATAATGAAGTCTATAAGTCAAATAGCATTTATAAGCTTGATTTTCTAAAGATAAAAATCAAATAGTTGTGAAAAAGTGGATCTAAACTTTTAAAAAACCATGTGCCCAAGCCCACTGCTACTAGATATTGTCTGTTTTGACTTGTTTCGTATCGCCATCAATCTCACTGTAACGACACAACCCCACCATTGACATATATTGTTCTTTTTGGATTTTTTCTTTCGAGCTTCTTCTCAAGGTTTTTAAAACGAGTCTATTTGGGAGAGATTTCCACACCCTTATAAATAATGCTTCGTTTTCTTCCTCAACCAATGTGAGATCTCACAAAACACCCCCATTTGGGGCCTTGCGTCTTTGCTAGCACTCGTTCTTTTCTTTAATTGATGTGAGATCCTCAATCCACCCCCTTCGGAGCCCAGGATCCTTGTTGGCAAACCGCCTCGTGTCCACCCTCTTCGAGGCTCAACCTCCTCACTGACACATCACCCAATGTCTAGCTCTGATACCATTTGGAACAACCCAAGCCCACCGCTAGCAGATATTGTCCTCTTTAGGTTTTTTCCTTTCAAGTTTCCTCTCAAGGTTTTTAAAACGCATCTACTAGGGAGAGGTTTCCACACCCTCATAAGGAATGCTTCGTTTCCCTCTCCAACCAATGTGAGATCTCACACAAACAAAGTGTCAACACACAAAAATCCCTCAAAGTCTCGAGATTATTTAGCAATCAATTCAATACTTAACAAATAGAAGACATAAAACGTAACAGTATTCGACGACTTTGAAAAGTATGTCAACTTAATCCCGCACTACTAATAGCTCAAATTCAACTTAGGATCAAAAAACCCTAATTTCTTTTTTGAAAAAAGCACCTAGAGAAGAATGTTTGGTACCCACATGTGAAAAGCCAATCTTGTCACCAAAATTTCCCATGGCAAGCTCTCCACTTAGTTTGTGGTGTTAGCAAGTAGGGGCCTGTTTGTGTGTACTTTGAAGAGAAGAACCCATAAAGTATAAAAAGCTTTAAAAGTTATGAAAAGAAAGTGGGCATAGAGATGAGAGTTTGAATGGCAAAAACACACTAAAAAAGCAATATTTACAACACCTAATTGGCTATTGTGTCCAATAAGCTTCTATTTTGGAGAGTATCAAACACATAGCTTTTCCTTATTGGGGAACCTTATGAACATCACTTTGAATATCATGTGTTGCTTAAGAGATACCTTTTTTCTTCTTTTTTGATATCTATTTCATATGGGACTTTGTTGTTTCAAATATTGGGATCAATGACACAATCTTCTTTCAAAATTCAACCCAAAAAGAAGGGTCAAATCTCTATGAAAAGTAGAGGCCAAGAAGAAAGAATTAGGGTTTATCTTTTCACTCTCTAGAATCTTCAATGCTTTTGGATATAGTTCATAATGCCCACAACCTAAAACAACTCCTACAAAGAATTCATTTTTCGTAAATGGAAAGTTTCTTCCTCTATAGTTTATACCAAGAGTATTTATACTAGGGGTGTACATAGTCCGAGTTGGGTTGGACTGGGTTGAGAGATTTTTTTTTTTTACGCAACCCAAAAGTTCAGGTTGGTTGGATTGGTAACCCAACCCAACCGTCTGTTTTCGGGTTGGGTTCTCCAGTTGCTTACTTTTTTTAGTTTTTTAAATTATTTATTTATTTATTCACAATTCATAATTATTCGATATAATATTAGATAAAAAAATATTAAAAGTTTTCAAATAAACACAAATCAATTTATAATTATTAAAAAAAACAAATTCATGAAAATAATTGTAATAAAAAAATTGTAAACATCTGAACAAATTCGAGCATGGAGTATTCTAGTAAACTCGGATTGCCACTCTGAAAGACCTTTACAGACAACAGAGTTTTCAACGTTATTTATAAGTTTTATTTGATTTTGGGTTAATCCGAGTTTTTTATCCTATGAACTGGAAACCGAACCGAGTCACTTCGTGTTCAGAAAAAATAACCCAACCCAAAAGACTAATGCAACCCAACCCAACCCCTAAAATTCGGGTTGGGTTGGCCTGGGTTGTCGGGTTAGATGTACGCCCCTAATTTGTACTTCAGTTCGAGACAATTTTTAGACTTAACCCAATTGTTCTGGTTATAAATTTTTTCTACACGAACAATTCTTATTAAATAATGAATCTAACCAAACCGTAAATTTTTTGGGTTGGGTGGTTGAGTTATTCAAGTCATTTATTTAGTATTTTGTTTTTGATAAAAGAAAAATGTAAATTTGTAAAATATTTATTTATTTATTTTTAACCACTCAATTACTTTCCAAATAGTTAAAAATTATTTTAAGAGTGGTTGGAGAATAAATAATAACAATTAAATATGAAATTTCGTAAAAATAAAATAAATATATGTATATATAATTGTATCGTAAACAACCATATACATTTGAAAATTAATAATAAATTCAGATTAGTTCGATTCAACTCAATTTAGTTTTAGGGGAATAAATGAACCAACCCTATGCATAAAGTTTTCATTTATTTGAACCCAACTAATCTAAGTAAGTTCATGATCGAACCCAAATGTATGAGTTAAGTTGGGTGGTCAGATTTTTTGGGTTATCGAGCTTTTTGAACATTCCTAAATTGAACCCATAAATGTTTTTTTGTTCAACGAAGTTACGTCACAACTAGGGGTGTATATTCAACCCGACAATCCGACAACCCGGACCAACCCAACCCGAATTATAAGGGTTGAGTTGGGTTGGATTAGTATTTCGGGTAGAGTTGGGTTGGATTAGTATTTCGAGTAGAGTTAGGTTCATTTTTCTGAACCCGAACTTAATCGGTTTTGGGTTCGTGGATAAAACGTTCGGGTTGACTCGAGCCAAATAAAAATATATAAATTATATTAAGAATCTTTTTATATCAATAGGTTTGCCATGGTACTTGACCTCTCTAGGAACACCCGAGTTCGACTTTATTTAATTTCTTTTGTATTTTTTTTTTTTTTTGTGTTTGTTTGTCAACTTTTAATAAAATTGTATCTAAATAATTTTTTTTTTTGACAACTCTGACAACCCAACCCGAACTCAACCCGAAAATAGAGGGTTGGGTTGGGTAA